AGGCAGTTTCATAATGAGGATCCTCCCAGCCAGACAACACAATCTTACTAATATCTTCTAATTCCTACACAAATCCTGATAACACTGGCAATATGGCAGGGATAAGATTTGCCTATCTCGCTTGTGAGAATAAGAAACTCAACCAGGAGGATTCACTTGGAATCAATCATAGTTTATTTTATTTATTTTTTGCTGCCCATCGTACCACAGGGTGGTGTATGTGTTAAAGTTAAAACCATAAAAATCCTTAAAATCTCTTACAGTTGGGAGGGTGGGGGCAGACTAGTGGGAGGTGGGATCTGTTGTTACTTGATTAACCACGTCCAATATGCTGTTCCCTTATTGGGCCCCCAAACGAACTGGGAGACCCAGGACTTTAAGCCCTTATGAAAGGACAGGAGGATTGGGGCCAACCTCACATGGGAGGGGAGATGTTCCATAGGGCAGGTCCAACAGCAGAGAAGGCATTTCTCCTGAACAGTATGAAGGATGTTAGATGTTGGTGTGAGAAATAATCCTTTCCATGATGTGTTAAAGCAGATGTGTCCTATCTCGACAAAACAGTTTTAAAGATCTTCCCCACTGTATCCATGGATTTGTTTTTGTGTGTATATACAGTCATGGATGTTCAATGAAGAGATGTCATGCACAATGATGGCTGTGCATGTACACAATGCCACTAATCTTGACTGACTTCGTTAGTCTTAGGGAGCTATACAATAGAAACAGTGTCTTGCTACAGTTCTATATTGTGGAACTTTTAAAGCATAATTTGCACAGGCCTAGTAGTTACTAAGTTCATCTTCAAAAATAAACAATAAAAATACATTGTCAAATACATTTCTGAGTCCACATCAAAATACTTCATTAATTGCAAATGATCATTCATTTTCAATAGGCATATCCTGCCCTCGACATATTTTATATACTTTGAAGCAGAAGAAAAATGGGCATAATTTTTCTTGGCTTCTAGGAGACTCTGAATGCAAAAGGAATCAATTTATATAAGCAATCAGGTTGACAACAGAAGAGCATCTGAAACAACCTATATTTCTAGGTGAATTGATAAGAGCTATTATTGCAGCTCCTTGCCCATCTGTACCAACACTATCATCAGTTGTGGAACAATTCACATGAAACTAGTGTATATTGTATTGTAAAGTTTTGTTTTGGAGTTCAGCAAAGTCAACAAAAATGAAGTATATCTTTCAGCACTTTCTATAAAAGGCACTATTTTGTCTAGAGGAATCAACATTCTTCTGAGCTTTGAGAAACACTTTCTGAGCTTTGAGAAACACGAACAGGCAACCACAGGATTCATTATGGGAAAGATGTATTACAAAAAAATCAACATATCCTTAAATTTCAGCTGGAGATGTTAAGGCAATGACAGGTAAAAACAGAAGCTCAGTTTCCATATGGATGCAGAGGTGGTTTGTCTCTTTTTAAAGTAGAGAAATTAAACATAAATCTAAGTATATTAAGCCTACCAGAGCAAAACAGTTGAAAAATCATGCTGTTGAATTTCTGTTACTCATTTTCTACAGTATAATATCAGGATAAGGGAAAACATTTGCACATTAATTGGCCTATGCATTTTTATTCAGTTGTATCTAAAGGGAAGAAGATAATAAATAAATAAAATCGGAGTGACCATTTGTTTGCTTTTTGTGCTAGAGTTGACTCCTGGCAACTGACTGGACAGCTCCTGGCAGTTTTCTTGGCAAAATTTCAGAAATGGTCTGCCAAAGCCTGCTTACTAGAATTGAGAAAGAGCAACTGGCCCAAAGTCTCTCAGCTGGCTGAAAGCAGAACTAGAACTGAGAGTTTCTTGCCTGCTGCTTTAACCACTATGCAAACTGTCTCTTTAAAGTAACCAAAACTAAAATAATTAAAATCAACAATTGAAATCAATATGCCAATGTCTATTTAATAGATACATTTTAGGGGCCTTTAAAAAATTGATAAAGACAATACAGGTAGTCCTTGACTTACAACGACAACAGAGCTCAGAATTTCCATCATAAGTCATGTCAGTCATAAGTCAAAGCATCAACATGGCCAGATCCAATTCTATGACTTTTTTTCTGGCAGTCATTAGGCAAATGCTGTAATCATTAAGTGACTATGTGCTGTTAAACAAATCAATGAATTCCTATGGCTGTATTTTTTTTCTAGAAACTAGCCAACAAGGCTGAAAACCAGCAAAAGAAAATCCCAAATTGCAGTCACATGACTGCAGAATGCTGCTATCAGTTATAAAGTTAAGCCAATTGCCAAGTGCCTGAAATGTGGTCATGTGACCTTTGTGTGTGTGTAGCTGTCATAACTCTAGGATTGCACCATAAGTAACATTTAGGGGACCCATTTAAATTAAGAAACTCAGCAGGAAATACATTTTAAAGAAAGGGAATAGCTACCAGAAGGTTCTCAGGTGAATCCAATGAATGGGGGGCAGCAAAAGACTTTTCTTCAGTACACCCAAATTATTTATGGCTTTCTGAGTCAAAACCAGTTTCTTTTATTTCTCCCACAAATGCTTTGTTTTTACTCTAGGTGCAATGTGGCTACCACTTTGTTCTACAGCTTTCATTTTAAGCTGACCAAACAAGGTAGCCTATAGGCAGATGAGCAGCGTCTTTTCATTTGGTTCAGGAGCATCCTGGTCCTCTGTAGGGGAATGACTTGCGTGCATCTAAACAGCATGGGATAATAAAGACACCGTGGCATTGCTACTTTCTCCTTTTCCCTTCTCTCCCTACTAAGCTCAGAGCGAAGGCAGTAATCACACAGCTGAAATGCTTAGCAACCACAGGTAAAAAAAAATAAAAGAAGTTAATAAGTCATAATTTATATGTGAGATGATTGCAGGGAGTTAGTAGCACATTTCTGGTACAGTTAGATTTCATGCTGAGCATCCTTTCCCCTCCCGACAGCAGATTCAAATCATTGCCATGTACAATGATTCTAATATGTAAATTGAACAGTGACTTGTCAAACAGTCCTCTGTATGGTGATTTGTTACACTTCTACATATTAGCCTATACAGGAACTTCTGTAAATCATCCTAACTCTGAAAACAAGCAATGTGAACAGCTTCTTAATAGTTTCACAGGGCTGCATCAATCTTACTAGAACCAAACATGGTAGAGAAATGCAGATCTAGAGCCTTATCAACAAGTCTAATGAAAGAATTTGGTATCAAAAATAAATAAGTAAATAACATCAAGGTGCTATGTGTATATGGAGATGGAATAAGGTTTTTTTTTTTGAAAACTCGTTAATCAAGTCCAAGTAGTCAACCTCTTTGACAAATAGTAAATTACAGTTCTATAGCTCTTGCGAATTTCCATCTGAATAATTTAATTTGCTTCAGTAAATCTGATCTGGTACATGTGTTTCAAAAATATTTAATTAAAATCAGACTCTATGCTTTCATCGCTGTGACATGATATGACATAGCCAGCCAATCAGTTAGAAAAACTTTCCAGATGGCATCTGCGGTTATCTATTATTCAGCTCATTTCAGATAAACTTCTAACAGCACAATCAAGTTGATTATACACTTACTCAAATTAAATTTAAGTACCCAGATTTACAGACATTTATTCACATAACTGCCTCCATATGGATAACAGATCTATGGAAATGCAAATAAAGAATTGGATTTCAATTTAGACATTTATAATCTACTGGAAGAAGTTGATGTTGTGTCTCATCTGGTGCTAGATATTACCTATAAACCCCTGTATGGCACAGGTCCTGCCTGTTTGAAAGACTTCTTATCTCCAACTGTTGCTGCCCATCTAGTATGTTCCAGCAGATTGAGTCATCTCTGGATTTCCTCCATGAAAAAGTGCTGTCTTGTGGGACCTAGGAAGTTTATCTTTTCTATTACAGCCCAACCCTCTGGAACAGGGGTCTTCAAAATTGGCCCTTTTATGACTTGTGGACTTCAATTCCTAGAATCCATCAGCCAACATGCGCTGGCTGAGGGATTCTGGGAGTTGAAGTCCACAAATCATAAAAGGGCCAAGTTTGAAGACCCCTGCTCTGGAACATCCCTCAGAGTTAATGACAGCTTATCTATTGTAAGGTAAGCTTTAAAAATAGGTCTTGTATTGTTTTGTTGTTTTTGTTATTATTACGTTATTTTAGTTTTGACTGCCTGCATGATTCAATGCTTTTCACTTTTAGTTTTTATATTTTTTTATATTTGCCCTAGTTTTATATTCTACTCAGAGTCTACTGGACTTGGGCAGCCAATACATTTAAATACATAATAAATAAAACTTCATTTCCCTTCCACTAAAGACTGGATCCCTTTTACAATAGATAAAGTGCAGAGTAAGACAGGAAAGTAGAAATCCTGAAGATCAGATTTTGGTCTCTTTGTAGTGAAGTTCTTTTCATGGAAGCTGTTTCTCTCTGATACTTGAGAGGATGGTTCCTTGATCTTCTCTGTAGCATTTCTAAGAGAATAGAGGGGGTCTTGAAGAAATAAAGCTAATGAAATCTATTTCTACCAGTCTCACAACACGTCTCTATTGGATCAGCATCTAATGGATGCTAATAATTTAATTCCCGCTAAAGAAAATGTTAAGCAGAGGTTGTTATTCAAAGACAAATAAGTAAAACCTTATGGTATCTTTCTGAGAAATGTTTATATTGTATTTTTTTCAAATGAACATATAGTGATAAAAAAGAGAAATATTTGGTAATATTGTTGGCATTCCAACTATTTCTTTAGACTTGGGGCTATTCCTCTTCAATGGAGAGAACTTAGTGCAGTCTATGTCCATATCAGCATAGCTTCTTATATTGTACCTATTACTGTTTGGAATTCTTTTAATTCAGTATGTCTTGGTTATTTTTTAATTTTTTTTAGTAAACTCTATAAATTTATCTGCATCCCTTAATATCCCCATATCTTAATCTAATCTAATCTAATCTAATCTAATCTAATCTGTTGCTCTTTTACAAAAAGTCAAAATTATCACCTGTAGCCACTGAGACTGGTCACTGTGCCCTGATGTCCAGGCATTAACTTTGCCTTGTTTGTCTAGTCGAGCTTTCCTGGGTTCCCATGTGAACATATCCATATTGAGTGTTCTGAAGATACTGGAAGCAGTGATCTGATAATCCTGAATATGTCCCGATTTCATTCCCAAAGGTTCAGAACAACCTAAAAAAAATTAAAAAGATACTTGAAAACAAATAGGTGAGTGACCTGTAAATTCTGACATTGCACTTCATGGAATAACTTCATGGAATCTTAGTGGGAAGGGTGTTCCACAAAGCAGGGGCCACTATGAAAAAGGTAAGCTTCCTATGTCCTACTACCATGTGCCCCGAAAATAAGACCCGATCACAGGTTTTTTTGCCTCCAAAAGAAGCCATTCGGGGGATGTCTTATTTTTTCCACTGTCTCGCCTCATGGCACTGGCACCAACAGCCTGGTCTAGCAGGAGCCTGCGTGGCCTCTGCCAGCCCACATCTTTTGTTTATTTTCAGGATAGTTCTTATTTTTGGGAAAACACAGTAGATGCATGATAATTTGGAGGTATAAAGACCTTGAAAGTAGATGAGATCATTGAAATGGATTTAGTTAGTAGCTATTACTGTTCTTCGAGCAGTTTGGTAAAGACCTATTCAAATGTGTGTTTTCATATATGGAAAGTACAATGAGAAAACAGTTTAACATGCCAAAGATCCTGGATATAATTTTCTATTTACTTTAAAATCTGTCTCTATAGGAAGACGACCACAGTCACAATGAGGAAGAGGAAAGAAAGCTGCACAAGAAAGCAAAATCAAATCAAATCTCAGCAAAAGAAACTGTTGAATATTTAGGTTTTTTTTTTATAAACAAAAGGATTGTTTTAATTACATTTTAATTAACTCAATAAACTCAATAAACTCTTCATTAGCTTCCGGGGCTAATATATACTAGCAGAAAATTATGATATAAATGCAATCTCATTTGTTTTTATTTAATTGTGAGTTCTGGCTGTATTTCCCCCCTCCCTTTCTGTCCAGTTTTGTCCAATTCTTGGACACTGCCTAGACAAGTCCCTGCAGTTTTCTTAGTAAGGTTTTTTCAGAAGTAGTTTGCCATTGCCTCCTTCCTATGGCTGAGAGAAAGGAAGCTGGCTTTGTGCCTAAGGCGGGACTACCGTAGCCCTCACAGTCTCCCAGTTTCTAGCCTGATGTCGTAACCACTACTTCAGACTGGTTGTATATTTAATTCTATTGCTTTGGGTTTAATTTTGGATTTGAATGTATTTCTTGTATTAAGACAAACAACATGATCACTTCAGAATTAATTTTCTGAAATAAGATGATAAAGTATGGGAAAAGGAAAAAAACGGGGGAACAATGGGCTCTAGTAGGAGAATAACAGATAAATTGAAAAATTACAATATATGTTTTTAAAAATGTGAAATAAATGATGAGAAAATACATTAGTTTTTGACATATTTATATCAACATATATAAATTCATAATAAGACATCTGGATATTTACAAATAATAGAAAGAAACACTAAGAATACTGACCTGACAATTCACAGCCAAGAAGTTCCATTCTCAAAGTACAATGCCTTCTACAGACTTGAGGATACAATCGTAGATACTGAGATTTTATTGGCGGGGTGAAAGAATTTGCATAAGGTGTATTATTATCCACATTTCCATGGAACACCTGCAACAGCACATAATAGGCTTTAGTCACACATGACAGATGTAACCCACAAATATTGATTTGTGCTTACTAATTTATTAATTTAATTTAGTGGTCCAGATGACTAGTGACTCAAAGTGGCTTGCAAGAGGGGGTAAGAAACACAAAGTAACAATGTACTAAAAGATAAAACAACTATGTTAGATAAAAGTTTAAAATGCAAATGCTCCAACAAATTCACAATTTGCCCCATTTCAGTGCCTCCTGCAAGAGCCAGGGTTTTAGGGACTTCCTAAAGAACCACAGGATCATGATTCTACAATTCTCAGGCAGAATGCAAATCCAAAAGCCAGATGTGATGACCGAGAAGAGGACATTGTTTTGTTGATAGGACTTGGAACATGTCAATCTTATCAGATCATACAGGATGGGCAAAGATAATTGGAGACAGATGATCTCACAGATATCCTGTCCTTAGGTCATCAAGGGAGAGGCAGTTTGGTATAGTAGTTAGAAACAGAAGACTGTGAGTTCTAGTCCTGCCTTACATGTGAAGTCAACTGGTTGACTTTGGGCCACTCAATATCTCTTAGTCTGAAGAATTAAATGGCAAGAGACTTAGAGGTATCACATATATCAGGGTTTCACAAATTCTTCAGAAGAATTACTTTGGAATGCTTAGTAATGTATGAAGCAGCTCTTTTTGAAATGCTTTCTGAACAGTTTTGTTCCCCTGCCAATTCACGTAGCTTCTTTAGAAGCTGTTCCCACATGTGTACAAGTGTGTACATCCACATCCAAAGCCACTTCTCTTTCAGATTACCTATAGATATATGCAGGAACACAACAGGAGTCACATCTAAAGCTGCCATATATGCCAGAAGAATTTGTAATTGTTTCAAGTATGGTGGTTCATTTTCACTTCTACATACTTCAAAATATCGCTTTCAAAGAATTTGCTGAGTTCTATAGGTGTTTGATTTGGAATTTAGATCTTTGAACAAGACTTCCCTTTATTATGCTTATATCTGACTAGTTTGACTAATACCTACCAATGAAAATTGTGATCAGTAAAATTATCATTACCTTAATTTGACAATGTTTAGTGATAAACTATATGCTAAAACTGATTAGCAACGCAAAAACACATATTCTTGATTGGAAGTACAATATAAATGATAGAATGCTTTCAACACTGTCTTTCACTTGTCTCTTACCCAAAAGCTCTCGATATTATTCTCATACTAGTTTACCAGACCATGTCTCTTACTAGTATTTTTTAGGTGTAGGAGCAGGCAATATCAACCATTAATATCAGTCTCACTAGAGTATTATATGAAGTTTTTGGGAAAAGATAGACTAATATTTCTTACTGCTTATTGTAACTATACTCTTCTTCTATGCTTGTAAATGCATATATGTTGAGCCTTGCCTTCACTAGGCTTGACACACCTATCTACATTATGTTTTACTAAGTAAAACACTATTTAGATGCTAAATGGATGCTTTATTATCTGCACAATCACTGGACAAGCAATTTTGGACCCACATTCCATAGCAACAAAAAGTCTTGTGGTAGAACAGCCAGTAGGTGTCAGTGTTCTATAAAAAAATGTATGTGGCAATACAGGGAAGGGCTGGAATATCTGTTTTTCTACTTCCTGTATCCTACCCTACTTGTATGCCTCTATATATGTTTTGAGTCTTGGCTTTCTACCAAGGTTATCATGCCTGTCCAAATTACCTTTTACCAAGTCAAATGAACTTAAAAGCAACCTATCTGGATTTTTTAAATTAATTGCTTCCTTATAGAATCTGTTCTGTGACAATAGCATTAAAACAAACTATATAGTTTGACCCTGTATATAGTAAGAGACAATTTCTACCTTCAAATACTCTTGTGTTTAATAATATTTTTTAATATACTATTGTCTGTTCTTGCTTCAGGACAGGAATGGCATTGTATTCTTCTCTTGCTCTTAAGAGTGAAATACAATTGGGTATACTTCATATAAGTCTGGTTAAATTTTAAAATGCATTCTTACTTTTACCTTGAGTTTAATTAAGTGTTTTTAAATATATCCTTTATTTTCAAGGATTAATCATTTGTCAACATAAAGAAGACAGAATTGCTACAGCACTATGAATTTATAAGGGGGAATGGCCCTGATACATATTTGCTCCTGTAGAAATATTTGAGCCATTTGAACATCATTAGTTCTGGCGAGCAGTAGGAGCAGCTACCTGTATAAGAATAGTTTATGTAAATATGTACTTCAAGAAGAAATTGATCAGGCAACTAGAACAATCTAAAGCTGTTGTTTAACATTTGGCAGGTACAAAACAGCATCTTGGATTTATTTTAAAACTTTATGTTTTTATAATTAATTTGTATCCATCCTTTTTAAAATCTTTTATTTCCTTACTGCTTGATTTTTGATTTCCTGTGTATTGCCCATCGAATGTTGCTGAAAAGGTCTGTGGGTGCTTGACCTGACCTTGCAAACTGAGGGACACATACAATATAATAAAAAGTAATTATTATTACTATTAATAAGTTAATTATTAATTAATTTAATATTAATTAACAGTAATACCTTTGTCACCATCAAACAACAGCATCTACCTATCCCAGGTCCTTAGGCAGGACTCAATAGATGGATAAAAATCCAGTCTATATATCTGACTGACTGTGCGACGAACCATACTAATTATGAAAGCCAGCTGGGTGTCTTTGGACACGTCACTCTCTCTCAGTTCTATCCACCTCACTAAGTTGTTTTTATAGGAAAATAGGAGGAAGAAGGTGTGTTGGATATGTTCGCTGCCTTGATTTATTTGTGAAAATAATAGAAATGGGATATAAACAAACAAACAAACAAAAAAGCAGTATGGTATTTGGAGACTGAAGTACTCTAGTGTGCCACTTGAATAAACAAAATGGACCTCATCTTGAGAAGGAAGAAAAAACCTGTAAGTCACACATGGGATGAAACAAAAAATCTTACAGTTTTCTCCAAGAGCCCCCAACCTATGGGCATTCTATAAAGCAGGGGTGTCAAACTGCCGGCCCGTGGGCCGGACGCCTCACATGGAAGCTGCGCCCACCCCATTGCCGGCAATGGCAAAACCGGCTCGATACGTTGTGCGACGTCACATGACGTCACGTGTTTAACATGCCTGCTATAAAGACTTGGAGACCTGATTGTTTTCTCAGATCTTGGGTTGAGATGGATAGGCCCCTACTTGGGTGTGATTTTGTTATTTTTGTTTCTCTCTGTATGTAGTGACTAGATACCATTGGTTGTTGTTTGTATTGGATAATTATGGTAATACATTGTGAGCTGCCCACAGCTAGATAAAGGTGATATTCAGATTGAATAACAATCCAATAAAAGTCCAAATAAATTTTAAAAACAAACCTATAAAATTGCAGAATAAAATCTGAAGGCAGAAATGTCTCTGTAAGCTTATTTTTATGTAAGTTATGCTATTGAAAGACATAGATTTAAAATAATATATTTTATATCATACAAAATATTACTTTTATATTGATGAAATTGACTTACCATATCTTCAGTGGTACCTTTCACTTTATATGTGGTCCATAGTTTGCCATCATTGCTATATGCAATTTTGTATGATTTAATGTATTCTGGGCTTCCAATTCTCTTTGCACCTTGTGTGATAACTCCAGTGATTCTCATTTTTCGTTGTAGATTTATCTGAAATTATAATCAGGCATCATCAATGAAATAATCAGCTCTGTATTTCATTTAGCAGAAATGTATTTCATTTCACGCTATTGCTCATATAAATAAAATGTATGGCTAGTCTAACACCAAATGTTCCTATGTCCAAGGCTTTATTTATACGGAAGTTCAATTAACTCACTTATGATAGTTAATTTAAGAGAATGTCACATGCTAAAGAACAATCATTTCTTCTAGCATGTTTTCCATTCTTCTGTGCACAAGGATAATGCAGAACAAAGTCAAGTTCACAGCTTGGAGAATATTGCTTGAGGCCTGATTTTTGTGATAACTTCCATTGCTAAAACTATATTAAGCAGATTCCATTCTAACTACAGTCTAAGAAACAAACACTTTTTTAAAAATTGCAATTAACTGTTAATTATTTTGCTACAAATAGATACAAGAAGTTAAATCTTTCTTTTTGAGTAATAAATGCATGTTTTAGTCCTGCAAGCTTGTGCATTACCTATCCACCTCTTTGATTAGCAGAGCAACATTTTGTGAAATGTTCCAGTATAAAAATTTAATCTGACAGTATTTACATATTTTTATAAACCCAATGACTTTTCAGTCACTAATAAGAGAATCTTGAAATCGGTAAAAAATTCTATATTGAAGGAATCTTGTGTAAGTAAAAAAAAACCTTAATATATATTTATATTCTTTCCAGTTTTTTTCAAAATGATCCACTATAAGTATGGTTGATCATGGACAGAAATTCCGTAGACCAATAATTCTGCTTGGTATAGTATTTTGGTCAGTGGAAGTAAAATAATTAGTAGCTTTATAGAATAAAAAGATAAATATGCACACATATTGGTTAATTAAAAATATTGTTAGAAATGATGTTACATTTTTCTGCAAGTGAAAAGAACATTCATAATGTATATTTCATATTGACCAATATTTATAGTAAGTTTGATTTATGATTCCTAAGAAAATCATATATTAGATTGTTAGTTAAGCAAAGCATTCTTAAATATAAGTTGAAATGTATTTACTGCCTGGATTAAATTACCAAACATTTACACCTGCCTTAATGAAAAGGACAATTCTGCTCATATACTTTTAATGAGGATTTCAAAAGGATTTCAAATAGGGTTTATATTTCAAATGATTTTTTTTAAATAATTGTTTTAATCTTCTCTGCCTACAAGTGATTTACATAAAGTTAATAGAAAACATAGGCGACTGAAATACCCTAATCAATAAACAATAATTTCTGAGTAGCTTTCATATTAATTCACTGCAATATATAATGGAATGGCATTACTGTACAAATCATATGGGGGTTGAACTTGGAAGAGCTGCTTAATGAATCTACGAGTTCATTTCTCAGAAATGTTCTTCATTGAAAATAAGCATTTGAATGGGGGAAGGGGGGCTTTTTAAATAATTTTTGAATATCAGAACAGGAAATCAAAGAAAAGAGAGACAAGAAAAAAAATGGGGAAAGCAAGAAAAAAATTTTCACTTTGGTCTTTTCACATTTATTTTAATAAAGTGTAACATACAGGATAGATAAGATAAGATAACCTTTATTGTCATTTTTATACTGTGGGCACAATGGCACACATCAAAAATGAAATTTAGTTGCCTGCTCTCAAAGTGAAACACATACATGACACACACCTAAACATACTATGAACAACATATGTATAGACCCACATCCCTACATATACGTAGCAATAAATATTAAATATTGTCCATCTTGAATATATAACGGAAGGAGGAAGCTTGAGAGTTCATAAGGTTAATGCTGTATGGAATGAAACTATGGCTGAATCTGGATGTTCTGCTTTTGTATCCCTCTGAATACATGAAAGGACTAATTCTTACAGTATAGCTGTTTTAAAGAAATTTTGATTTGACTAAGACTTCATGTACCTTACAGCTGTTTATGGAATAAAGGCTAGACAGGCATTAAGCAAACAGATCTCAGTTCATTCAGTGGAAGTTTTCCTTCCTCTTTTTTTCTTGGCAATCCTTGTGATAAAAGGACTTTAGACTAGAATTTCATTTCTCTGACAAATGTCCATATACATTATATTAAAAAGCTGAAAGATGAAACTCAATTGTTCAGTCAGTTCTATTGCTTAAAAAAATGATAGAAGGGAACTCAGTTCCTGCAGGAATACTTACGTCTGTGGTCTTGTTGAAATAAATGGGGTTTGCATCAGAGCATAATTCCAAATGAACTAATTTACTGGTGTCTGCATTAACTATGTATTCGATAGCCTATTTATTAACTTCTTTATAATGTACTGTAGTTCCATAAATTCATTTTCCTTTAAATTTAGCATAAACTACTCAATTAAACTAAGAATGGGCCTATTCACTGTTAAGGTATTCACAATAAAGAAGGAATACAATATCTAATAACCCATATGCAAATGATATATATTATAAATTATGCTGCATTATATTTCAATTTTCAACCTACATGACCAGATATTACAATCTCCTGGGTGCAATTTCTTGAAAATAATTAAATAGATAGATGTATAACTTGAAAGTAGAGTTATGTGTCTCATGAGAATCAGGCCAAAGATTCAGCTGAGAACTTAATCAGACATTGACTGATTATAGTCACCTTTCTTAGCACAGGATACATGGTAGTGTACTTCATCAAAATAACAAACAAACAAAAAAACTTAAACAAATACGAAAACACAATCTCTCCCCAAAAAACAATAAAACAGGGTTTTAAACCAGAAGTGTCAGGAAAAAAATCCTTATTCAGCAGGACATACCATTCTCAGACCAAAGTTCTAGGAGGGAAATATGGTCTTTAATGCTTTCCATAAAGCAGTTATTGTCAGGGACAGGCACATTTTTTTTCCAGGCCTTCGGGGACTCTTTCTCTCTGTTTACCTTTGATCTTCCCTTAAACATTGTTTGTAAAAATGAAGATTCCTTTGGAGGTAATACTCAGTATATAAACTCCAAGACAGTACAAGTAGAAGCTCTGATATGTGCATATTAGAACCTATCTTATATCAGAAGGTGGAACTTGAATTATTTTCAGGCCAGAAGATACATTGCTGCTATTACAAATTTCCGACCAGTCAGGGAAAGGCAAAAAAAAAAAAACATTTAAAAAGCAATTATTTTCCCATATTTATAAGAAAGCCAAATCAGTACCACAAGGTTTTAATATAATAAATATGTGAAAATGTTAGTAATCCATTGAATGCACAATACAGGTTATTGTTGTAATTGTTCAACTGATTTTAAAAAATGCAAAACGTTCTCTCCCCTTATTTAAATAATTAATTCCTACTTGTATTACTAGAACTGTTGAAGCAATGAAGTCAAAGCAAGCATTTTCAGTAATTTAAATTTTCCCAGGTTCTCTAAACAAATGTTGATATGTGTAATTTGAAACAAAAATTGAATTCCCACTTTAAACATTGCCAAATGTAATTCAACATTTGAATTTAAATCCTTAGCTTTTTGAACTAGGCAAGAATCATCCAATCCGCTTTGAGAGATGGCTCTAATGGTTTAGAAAAAAAAAAAAACATGTGTTGGATTCAATCTGATCTTGGGTTTTTGAGTGCAATACAGAAAACAAGAACAACATCTCCTCTGATGACTATCTTTTCTGGTGACAATGACCTAGTATTTCCCAAACCAGATTGTGTACTATGCCTTGTTTATCATCATAGGTATTAGGTACTGTATTTTTATTTGTGTCTTTATATACATCACTTAGACATAGTGTTCTTCAAATTCTCAGTAAGATTTAGTGGTTGTAGTTTTACTAAGAACCATCCTACTCTCCCCTTCTTAAATCTTATGATCCATTCAAGATGCTGTGTTGGGCAACTGATGGCATGTAACTATCAAATGCTTCTTTCTGTCCATCCAAAACAGTTTGGAAGACCCAAAAAAAAAATCATCTTTAATTTTAAATGGGCATGGGAGAAGATGAAGAAGCAATGAGGATGGTTCATAGGGAGGGAAGCTAACCTCAAAATGCCTAGTTTCTGGCAGATAAACAACAACATCTGTAAGCCACCCAGAGTCATTTCAAAATGAAATTGGGGAAAATAAGTTTAATAAATTAATAAATAATATAAAAAATAGATAAACGGAACTTCTAGGCTAATACTGCAGCAAAATGTGATAAAATAAGGCAAATGCCTTAATGACTATCTTAATTTACCTTATATAAATCTCAATAAACTCTGCAGATATTCTGTAGGAGGGACAAATGAGGAAATGTGCCTCATAGAATTATTAATCCTTTGAATGCACAATATATGTTATTGTTTTAATAGTTCAACTGATTTTAAAAAATGCAAAAAGTTCCCCCCCTTATTTAAATAATTAATTCTTACTTATATTACTAGAACTGTTGAAGCAATGAAGTCAAAGCAACCATTTTCAGTAATTTAAATTTTCCTGGATTCCCTGAAAACATTAACCTTGAGCCATTCCCTTTATCTCAGCACTAGGAAAGATGCAATGACAAACCACTTCTGAAAAACATTGCCTAGAAAACTGCAGGGACCTATCCGGGTTGCCTCTGAGAATTGGACATGATTGAACATGAAAAACCATCTATCTATCTACCTATCTACCTATCTGCCTACCTATTCATCTTCACTGTAGACCCTTACATCATAATATTGGAATAACATAATTCTAAAGACAACAAAATGTGTGTCCTTAAAAGGAATATTTAACTTTAAAGAAAACTTGTCTTCCTATCCACAAATGCTGAGCTTAGCATTAGAGGTAGAGCGGGCAGCCATCCAGATGATTCAAATCTGACTTGTAATTTGGGCCCCGGGATTTGGGAATCACAAGAGACCTGTTAATCTGGTGAATAATTTATTTTGGCAACTAAAAAATACCTGAAATGTAGAAGTTAAAAATATACATGAAACCTTAAACACTAAACCCATTCTTTCTAAATACAGAACTCTAATATGTGATATACTGTAAGTAGAGAAAAAGGT